CATCATCATCATCATCATCATCATCATCATCATCATCATCATCATCATCATCAGTATCCTCCTCCTCCTCCTCCTCTTCCTCCTCCTCATCATACAGGCGCAGAGATGCAGGTGATGCAACTGCTAAAGCACACCTACAAAGATACAGGTGTTTTGATACAGTTGTGTAGATTCATGTGTTTGGATACAGGTGTTGAGATGCAGGTGAAGAGGCCCACAAAACTCACCTACATGATGACAACTACAACTTATATAGACATTTTAAAAACTTCTCTTAAGGTGGTGGGCGGGTGCGGCCGATACTTACGAAACGCGACCCTCTGCGGAGACCGTGCATCGAAATTTGTTTGTGGCTCAACACAGTGTGGCGAAATTATATATATATATATATTATATATGTCTATGATGTAGCTGTGCCGTTCGGTTTCGCACGGCCTCGGTGGAAAGTGCGTCCGCTTGGCTCCGTGCCACTTGGGAGCGGGAAGCATGCGTGTGTAAACGCGGCGTGTTGTTGGTGAGCGAGATGAGTGGGGATTTACCAGAAGAGTGCCCTCACTGTCTCACAAATGTCAAGCAAGAGTGTCTTACGAGAGTGCCCCACAAGAGTGTCTTTTAAGAGTGCCCCACAAGAGTGTCACACAAGAGTGTCCTACGAGTGTGTGTTAAGAGCGTCCTACAAGGTACCCCACAAGAGTGTCTAACAACACTGTCCTACAAGAGCGTCCCTGCAAGCGAGTGTGTTGTACATGAGCGCCTCACATGTATATCTTGAGATAATCACATCTCCTTATTCCCGGCACTAGCGCCATCGTGATCGTCATCATAACTATCACCATCATCGTCATCGTCATCCTCATCATCATCATCATCATCATCATCATCATCATCATCATCATCCTCGTCATCATCGTCGTCGTCGTCGTCGTCGTCAGCCGCGTGGCCGAGCGTGGAAAACGTTAGGTGGTTCGCGCGTGGCGGGTGCACCAGACACATCTTTTTGTGCCGAAGTGATGGCAGTCTAGAAACACGACCCGGGTCAACGACCGCAGTTTGGTTGAAACGTTGTCAAGCTGTGCCTTCTCCTTGAAGTTGCACATGTAATTTGACAGTACTTGCAAAAGACACCACAAGATCTCTTCTCTTTTGATATTCATCGCGCCTTTTTCACCAACAGGTTTCTTGACCTTGTTGGTCTTTGCAGCCCTGTGTCGTCCGCAGCGGCGGGGCACCTTTCCTGGGCGCCGTGCCACAGCCCTGCGGCGCAACTTGGGGGTCCGCCGCACAGCCCGGGTTGCATCCTCCAACTTTGCCATGTGGCCCGGTTTGGACGAAAAACAGGTTCTAAGAACTAAGATGCTGGGCACCAGAAAGGGTTTTGGATGCTTGATGAGGCGGTAAACATCAGTAAACACACATGGTAGGTAATAGGGGGGTCTTGTGAAACATCTGAAGTGGGCGGTGCTGCAGGTTGTCTCTATCTTCCCTTTCGAACATTGGGGTGGATGATTGGTATAACTCTGCTTTTGGTGAGATTCTGCGTTCCAACTTGCCTCATGGAGACAGTGTGACCACCAAGGATACTTGCTGCACGTAGTGCTTTTCTAATGGCAGCGCCACTTCTGTTGCTCTTTGGGTGCTGGGGCCATTACTTTGAGACATGGAAGTGTCCGTGAACAGATTTTTCTCTTTCTTTTTCTGTAAATACAAGAAACACTTTTGCAGTGGATCCAGCTGGAAGAAAATGATCCGCGAAGGAAGGAATCAAAGATGCCTTGCAGGGAATTCACTTATGAATCTGTCCTGTCTTTGAGGGTCACTCGCTTTAACATCACATTGGTATTTCCCTGTCATGAACCCATTGATGCCTAGCGACAGCCTTTGCTATCGCAAGAGCTTGGTGATTCAGCTCATTGGTGTACATCCATGGGTTTTGGGTGATGTTGATGTTCCCTTTTGCCGGTTTCTGTGGATCTCTACACCTTGAGGCCTCTCTGGATCTCTAAACGTTACACCTAGAACTTTTGACGTCTCTGGATCTCACCTCTAGACCTCTGGATGTCTAGACCTCTCTAGGTCTCAAGACCTCTAGCTTGAAAATAGCGCTCACCCCTGGCCGCAGACGACAAGGACTGTTGCCCACCTTTATCTCAGACGACACTGGCCAACTTCCAAGCGGAGCCCCCGGTCGAGCTGGGCGTCATCGTCTGCTGGTCTGCGCTGCTTCTCTTCTTTCGAAGCACGGTGGCCAGCATGCCCGCAGACCCTGCGTGCGCCCGACCTGCCCAAGTCGGACTCTCGCCCGGTGCTGAGGGCGGGTCGGACTCTCGCCCTCGCACGGCGGTGCTTTGGCGACTAACCAGAAGGTCCTTGGCGTGGCTTCTTTGGGTTGGCGTGGTGCTTCCCATCTTCTCCTTGCCGTCCATTCTCTTCGCACTGGCCCAGTCGCTGCCAGCTCAGCATTCCTTGGCCTTGAACGAAAGCCTTTTGAATCTGGCTTACCGGACAGCACCAGTGGTGATGGTTTTGATTGACATGGCTTTGGCAGTCAAGATCTCCATCAAGTACTCCCAAGCGTTTGGCTTGCAAACATATCACTTGTTAATGAGCTTTCGTCTTTTTTCGGCCTGGCTCCTGCCAGTCTTCATCACCGTTTTATTGGATGAGAACTGCCTCTCAGGGTGGAAATGGACTTGGACTGTTTGCCAAGAGGACTCATTGGAGCAGCAACGCTTTGACTGGAGCATCTATGGGGAAGAGATCCTAAACACCAAGAGAGACATTTGCACCTTGAGCGAGACATGGTGGTCCGATGGTCGTTGCAGCCGAGCGATCGTCGGGAACCTGAGCCCGTTTTTGCTCAAGAAACTGCTGACGCGAAGCACCATGCAACCTTTCCTGTCGTGGCTGGTGTGGCAGTTTTCGCGTTTGGAAGCCGATTCAGGGGATCCTCAGGCCGGGCGTCATTTGAGACTGCGCGGCTTTGGACGGAGGGGACCGAAGACCAGTAGCTCTCTAAGGCCCTTGGAGCAAATGGCCCTGCTGACCACACAGCTGGAAGTCTTGATTGTTTGGACACCTTTGGTCCCTTTGCTGAGCCTTGGCATTTGGAGTGCGGGCACTGCGAATCTGCTCCTCTTTGACGCGGGTGTGTGGAACTTTGGAGTGCGACTCCCCTTGGACGCGATGAACCGCAAAGCTGCACTGTCAAAGTCGTACTTGACCTTCGCCCTAGGCGCCGGCTGCTGCTTCCAGTTGTGGCATGCCTTTGGTGCTGAGATGTATGGGCGATACATCTTGCTAATCTTCAGCCTCGCAGTCATGGGGCCCTGGGCCAAACGTTTCTTGCCCTTGGAGCTGGCAAGGAGCTATTTCTGGGCAGAGGCAGATAAAGCCAGTGAAAGCGAGTTCATTGAAATGATCCAAACAGTCTCCGCAGGATCCTGAGAAAGTATCCTGTTGAATGTACTTCATTCACTTGTAGCTGGTTTCGCGCAAAAAGGCACATTTAGAAGTATGACAGTAAGCAGCTTTGCCTGCATTCGGTCTTGCAACAAGTTCCGTGTCCATGTCACGTGATATCATACCAAGAGCCTTTGAACCAAAACCACTTGGGGGCTTTTCGATTTGGCGTTTTCGACGCCTCCCAGGACTGTCGAGACGGTCGGCCAGCCGGTCCAGAGGCACGGCCCGTTGGGTGCGCGTCGGTCGTGGGACGCGTTGGGCCAAAACGAGTCTGGACACCGGCCACAGTCCGTTGGATCACCACAGTCTTGGACGTGGGATGACGTAGGTTTTGGTTGCTTTTGATGTTTTTTTCTTTGTCTTTTCGGTTTTTTCGCTGGTCCAGACGCGTTCACAGCCCGAGGATTCAATCCCAAAGCTGGAAACGACCCTAAGAAGTCCAGTTCCGACTGATCGCTCGGTGGACCGTTCCATCCCATCGGACGGAGCGGGTCTCGGGGTATTCGCGGACGTGTGTGGCAGCAACTCTGCTCATGGGACGACACGGACAGATGGTCAGTCTGTCCGTGTTTTTTTGTTAAACAAGTTTCCCTGGAGGTCCAAGACTGATTATTTTTTCTCAAAAAGATCTTTAGGTGACCCGATTTCAGTTGCTTGCGTGCGAATTGCGATCTGCCAGGCAAGCCTCGCCATGCTCTGCGAGCGACCGAGGTGCGATCAATAGGAACGGTGGTCCGGTTGACTTTGATGGAGGACTCGCTTTGGGCACGTGAGGCAGGTCTATGTCACGTCTGTTTTGGAGTTCCGAACCTGAAGAGAGAACTGGTGGGTTCAACCGTTGACCTCCATGAGAACCACCCCGGCCAGGCCAACCTTAAGAGGCTCATTGTGCAGCGGTGAATGGCCGTCGTCCCGTCGCCATGCCGTCGCTTTGTCGCTCTCGCAGTGAGACGCCACTGGCGCGGCATGCCCTCCGTCTCCAAAGCGAGGAGGTCGTTTGGGCTCCTCGGATGCTCTTTCCCATGTACACGTTGCCCTTGGAAGATGTGTTGCAAATGAGCTCCCTGGTGCCGCATGAGACGCTGAAGTCCGAGGGCAGACTCAGGCAGTTCGAGAAGAGGATGGGAAAGGCGGTCTTTGTTTCACACCAATGGGCTGGAAAAGATCACCCTGATCCAACCCTAGAGCAGTTCAGTGTATTTCAGGGTGCGATGAAGCGTATTTTGTCGGAGCTTCCCCAGATACCCTTGGAATCCATCACGGAATTGACCGTGTCACAAGCCAGAGCGCTCCCGACCCATGAGTTCCGATCAGCGCAGTTGTTCGTTTGGTATGACTACTTCTCTTGCCCGCAGCTGGAGAATAAGGGGCCACTGAGCCAGCAAGCTCAAGCCATTGCAAGCATCCATGCCTACGTGGCGGAGTGTTCCTTCTTCTTTGCCCTTTGTCCTTTCATCTTCGACCCCCTGACGAGGCCAAAGCCCTTGGACGCGTCGAGCTGGCGCCAGCGAGGCTGGTGTTGCTTGGAACGGACGATGCGTGAGCTTGGAACGGAGGGCGATGGCTGGGTCTTGGTGCAAAGCGTCATGCACATCGAGGTCGTGGTGGCCACCGATGCCTTCTATCGCCCCGTGGGGGAGGGCGACTTCGCGGTACCAGAGGACAAAGCCAAGCTGGGCCCGGTGCTGGCAGCGGCGCTCAAGCGGAAAATGCTGAAAGCCTTGAAGGATGAGGACTTTGTGACCTATCGAATTGTTCGAAACCTGCAGAGTGTTCATTTGCAAGGTGTGGATGTTGAGCCAGAACTGGATTTGGTCCCAGGCTTTGTTGCCAGTGGAGATGAATCAGCCGCGCGGGTGGCGGAATTCTTCCACCAGAACGGCTTTTCGAGGATCGATGAGGTGGACGAGGCAGGGTTTTTGCCTTTGCACTATGCTGCTTTGAATGGCGATCCAAAGTTGGTCAAGGCTCTAGTCAAAGAGCGTGCAGATGTGTGCAAGACCACCCGGAAGGGGCAACCTTTGCTTGATGCGCCCCCTTGGATCTCAGCGCTGGGCTTGTCTATTGCCTTTGGGCACAATGAGGTTGCACGGCTGCTGATTGCAGCAAAAGCCCAAGTCCGCGAAAGAGGTCTGGTTCCAGCCCTAACCCTGGCTGCTGGCACCAACAATGTCGAAGGGGTGCGGCTGCTCTGTGCCGCAGGCTGCGACCCTCGCGACGCCAACATCATGGGAGTTCCTCCGCTGGAGACAGCCTCTTGGGCCAACTCGCTGCCCGTTCTGGAGGAGCTTTTGGGTCGAGAGCAGCGCTGCTCGCTGTCCAAGGTGCTTCATGCAGCAGCCAATTCCAAGCAAGGAGGTGCCGAGGCAGCACGGCGTTTGTTGGAGGCGAAGGCAGACATTGATGAGCAGTACCAGGTGCCCTGGTCAATGGGCGGAATGCTCTATTTTCTGGGCTCACTCCGCTACCGACTTGGAAAGATCACCTCTGCCACCCGAAGGTACTATCATTTGCATGGTGCCACGCCCCTCATGATGGCGATCCTCTCCGCCAACTTCGAGACCGCTTGGATCCTGGTCAGCTCGGGCGCCCGCGTGGATCTGCGCAACGCGCGCAACTGTTCGGCCGCCGACCTGGCGCGCGAGGTGGGAGTGCCGAAGATCTTGCAAGAAGCCTTGACGGGCGAGGTGGTGTTTCAACGAGTCTGATGTCGCGCAGCCGGTCGCGCCGGTCGCACCGAAGCTGTGCACTGACCGGTCGCACCGACCGACCACGTACGGTGCAGCACGTCCCAAAAAGACGTCGTGTCCACGTCGCGTCCGGTCGTCTTCGGGTCGATATCTGTGTGATGTGGGCGACAATGCAGACGGGATCTCCAATCTTTTTGTGTTTTGATTCTTAATCTCTCACACACACTGTGGTTCAGTTGTGGTTCAAAAAGTATGGTAGGGACCTGCAGGTCTAAACGGTGTTTAGACCTGCAGGTGTTTCAAACGAAGCAAACAAAAAGAGAGAGAGAGAGAGAGGGAGCGCGAGTAAAGCAAAAGCAACCATTTTTTGCCGCGGCCTCCCTCCAATCATAGAAGTGGAATATGCGCTCATGCGCCCTATATACCAAGTCTGGTCCTTTTATTCCATGATCGTTTGAGAGAGAGGTCCATGTGCGTCTGAAAATTGCATGCTCCACGAATGGAACTCCCTAGCCTACCAGTGGACGACCTACCCTGCGAAAGCTAGGCTTGGACCATCCAGATGTTTGTACTGGGATAGGGGAGTTCTTGATTGAGCAGTACGAACTGTACAATCTTTGAACGCCGGCCACAGACTGACCACGGTCTACATCGGTCAGCCCGCCGCATCAAACCCATCCCTGGGCCAGGCAGACTGACCCCCTGAAACCGGTGAAGCCAAGTAGCAGAGCGAGTTGCGCTAGCGCTGTGTGATGTGAGAAAGATGCCCCTTCAATGGAATCTGGGTACGGGTTCGGGTGAAAGCTGTGCACATGGGAAATCTATGGAAATCTGGTTGATGCTAAATAGAGAGAAGGCTTAGGAGCAAGTTTCCACGCAAATAGATTTGTCAAAAGACTTGGGCTTTGACGGGCTTTGAGGGGAATGGCTTAGAGTAAACTGAGATTCACGGGGACTTGATGCCACCAAGCAGTCGGGTGGCTCTTGTCATTGTCGACTTCTGCCATTCCATCCCTACCAGAACACGCTCCCTGGCTCCGCTCCCTGGCTCAGATCGGGTTCATGAAGTTCCCCCAAAGCTTCAGGGGCATGGTGAACGAACGCCTTGGAGGCATGTGCCGCACGTGTTCCACCACCGAAAGGGTGGCTTATGACGAACCCGACGATGTTTTTCCTTCCAATAGAGCTCATTGGGGGGTCTACACCCTGAAGAACCCTTCATGTCCAGCATCCGACTCTAGAGGTGGCTTTTGGAGAGAGGTGCTGGTGGCGACCTGTTAGGGTCATCCTCGGGTGCTGCTGTGCAGCAGTGCTGCAGCTGTGGATCTGATCACCTCATCACCTCATCACCTCATCACCTCATCACCTCATCACCTCACTGGTGTCTCCATTTGCTCCGAACGCTGAACGGACCATCTACGGGCATCAGACAGACCAAATGACCCCGTTCGCTGCTCACCCAATCCAAACTTCGGATCCTTTTTTGGCGCTGATCCTCCACTCGGAGCCGGTCCCTTCGCGTTGCCGCGGAGCACGAGAAGGCCGATCCGAGCACCAAACCGACGCGGCGCACCGTCGGACGCGGTGGGATCTCAAGGCGACTTGAAGACCGAGTCGCAGGACCCGAGATCAGAGAAGACCCAGAAGTGCTGCAGAAGACCCACTGGAGCATGTGGCATGGGGGGAACGAGAAATCAGGAACAAGAGATCCAGACATGAGGGAACACGAGACATCTGTTGCAAGACACCCTGCAAAGTTTTTCCGGAATTGGCATGTGCAAGTCTCTCAGAGCTTGCAATCATAGAAACTTGATGGCAGCCACAGACAGGGGTCCAGGGTGAATATTGAGCCCCTGGCCACATGTGCCATCCACGTGTCACTCTGCCCACTTCAACTGTCCAACTTTCCACCAATTGCTGTTTTTTTTCTCGATGATTTCAATCTGGAAGCCTCCCCAACCCACAGCCACCAACGAAAACCCGACTACAGACCACAGATCACGACCCCTCCAACCGACCGGAGCCGAACCTGACCGCTGCCGTCGCGCCCGCGCGGACCTCCAGCGACCCCCCATGGCGCGCGCGACCTGAGCATGGCGCGCCGCCCGAGCTCGGCGCGGGACGCCCGGTACGACGCCACCGGAACGCGGCGGAACGCGACGCGACGCGACGTGGCGAGCGAGGGATGCGGACGCGGTGTGGAGGTGAATCTGGTAGAACCGGGAAGTGTGGGTAGTAGGCAGTTGGTCACATTCCCACTCCACACGCGGTTCTTCGGCCTCACATGGCTTT